CTCGACCAGCGAAAAAATAATTCAATCGTGCTTGATACTCGGCTCGGCTCGTTTGCAGCCCTAGTTGTGAGGGGGATTGGGTTTTGGATTTAAGGGATGGCATTTGTGCGGCGAAGCTTTTGCAAGTATGTTTATGCTTTTTGAGCTAGTGTAGATTTTCAGATTATATTCTTATCGATAGAGTTGTTTTTTTTTTGTTTTTTTTTTTGTTTTTCCTTTTGGTGTTTGTGTGTGTTTGTGTTTTGTTTCAGATCTGGAATAATAACTGCGACTGAGATTCGGTGTGAGACGTGCATTAACAATGGGTTGCTTGTATTGTATGTTTGTTTGGCTTTAGGTGGTTAGTATTGAAAATAGTGTGTTCTGTACTTTCTTTTTACTCTCTGGTTTCAAATGAAAGCTTCCTTGCTATGATTTTGTCAAGTCTTCAAAGCTAAGCATTCGGTTGTCTGTCATATCTGTAGCTCCCTCAGCTTGGAAGGAAATTTAGTACTTTACACACATTTAATAGAACATAACAACGGTGCTTGTGATGGTTATTTATCTTGTTATTTTCTCTAAGTTACCTTTGCAGTATATGTAATATGAAAAGTTAACTTTTAGCAACTATGAGTAGTATAAAAATCAAAATGAATTAGATCTGGGTACTTTAGTTTTTCTATCATATAATTTAAAATCTGCAAATTTATCCAGATCTTAAATAGTTACTGGCAGAAAGGGACAAGGATGGGATGGAGGGAGTGCATATTGTACACCTTGTGTTTTGTTTGCCTTTTTAGTTTTGAATTTTCCTTCCGTTTATCTTATGTTTGCATTCCCTCCTTTCTTCTCATGTACAATACTCTCGTTTCGCAGCTTTTGAAAAGAGAAGTTTTCAGAAGTTATTTGAAGTTCGAGCCTAATCTTTTCACGGTGAGATCACGTCTGCCTGGTTCATTCTGAATCTTGTTCTTCACAGTTCCTTTTTTTCAATGAATACGATATTTGTATACATTAAGCATACAAGCTACATTTGCATTATTTTTTTCTTGGTTGCTATACTAATCATTGTGAACCTGTTCAGCAAGTGGCTGCACCTTTTGTGTTCTCCTAACCATGGGCTCTTACATGAACTTCAAAAACCTTGGGGACACATCCCAACTAGACGGGAGGCCAGCTAGCAATCTCCCATTAGCTCGCCAGTCTTCTATATACTCCCTCACATTCGATGAGTTCCAAAACACACTTGGTGGACCCGGAAAAGATTTCGGGTCCATGAACATGGAAGACCTCTTAAAGAGCATTTGGACAGCTGAAGAGAGCCAGGCCTTTCACTCATCCACGGTTGGGGCAAATGGGAGTGGCTCGGGTGGAAATTTACAGCGGCAGGGATCTCTTACACTGCCACGTACACTTAGCCAAAAGACGGTCGATGAAGTTTGGAGGGACGTTTTAAAGGAAACAACTGGCGTACATGGTGAAGGTTCGAGCTTGGGCCAAAGGGAGCCTACTTTGGGCGAGATGACACTTGAAGACTTTTTAGTTAAGGCGGGTGTTGTTAGAGAAGACGTCCAACCTGCTTTGAGGTCAAACGGGCAATATATATACGGTGCACCAAATGGGAATGCCTCGGGTTTTACTGGATTTCAACCGCAGCCATCTCAAAATAGCGCCATGTTGACCAGTCAACAGGCGGATAAGAACAGTATTATTCTAAATTCTTCGAATGTGGGGATTAATATGAGCTCTGCAACTGTAACAACATCTTCTCAGCAGCCACAATTACAGCCGTTATTCCCGAAGCAAACAACCGTCACTTTTTCCTCACCATTACAAATCGGAGGAAACAACTCTCAACTCTCGAGCTCCGTTGCAAAGGGGGGGCCAATAGTTGGAACAAAAAATGTCATGAATAATAATAGTACCATGGTTCAAGGTGGGCCAGCGGTTATAGGTGGTGGGTCCCCTGTGAATAATATGTATGCTGATACAGTCGTGAAGAGCTGTGTGGACACGTCACCATCTGTGTCACCTTCGCCTTATAATTTTGGGGAGGTCGGGAGAGGCCGGAGATCGAACAGTTCTCTGGAGAAAGTGGTGGAGAGAAGGCGGAGGAGGATGATCAAGAACAGGGAGTCTGCTGCTAGGTCGCGAGCTAGAAAGCAGGTTTTGAGATTTTTTTTTTATTTTTTTTTTCTTGATTGTTAGTTAGCACAGTGTGCTAATACATGTGGATGAGGTTACTGATTTCAGAGGAGAAATTTTGCAGGCATATACTCTGGAGCTGGAGGCAGAGGTGGTGAAGTTGAAAGAAATGAATGAGGAACTGAGGAGAAAGCAGGCAAGCCCTTTATTTTTTTTAAGGTGGAATTGGATGAGGGTAAATTTGGAATCCAATGATTTTGATGGTTATTTTTATTGTGCCTTGTGCAGGAGGAGTTAATGGAGATGCAGAAGGACGAGGTACTTGATTTTAGTTTTTGACTCAATTTGCTTGTTGTAGTGGTTTTGATGTCAGGATCGTCATATTCGCAATTTATGTATACCATTGATCACCCGAACTGACTGACCTTAAAGATGATTGATAGAATTCAATAGGTACTTAAACACCAAAAGTTTGCAATTAAATCACGATTTTTGAAACTTGGCCGAAAATAATGACTCAAATCGATTCAAGATCGTTGTTCTCCAGTGATTGGCGTTTTATGTCACCTCACTGGCTGATGTGGCACTTCTGATGCTGGTCACCGCAGAGTGGTGTTTTCGGTTCGATTTGCAAAATACAGATAGACAAGTTCCAAAAGTTATTAAATTGGAAAATGACGAAAAAGGTGGTAATTTTGGTGTAAAAAGTGCCATTTTAGAATACTGTTTATAAAATCGAAGATTTCCGTTCTTTCTTGATTATGGAAAATCAAAATATGCATGTTTTATTTTGTGATTATATTACCTTTTCAAGTTCACTTCTATTTTTTATTTACCAGAACGAAACTAAATTTCAGTTACTTTTTTTTTCTCTGTTTGTTTGTTTTTCTTTTCGGTTCACAGCTCCTGGAGAAAATGAATAAGCCCTGGGGAGAGAAAAGAATATGCCTGAGGAGAACGCTAACCGGACCTTGGTAAAATCCAAGCACACAAAGTTAATCTGTTTATGTTTTCACGTGACTGGGATCGACAGCCAACATAATTTTACGCATATGCGTACGTGGTGGGTTGCTATATATGTACAGATTGCAGAACCAAATTGAGTGCCTTGCTTGCTGTATATTATTGTTGCCACTCGTATAATTTATATGTCTCGATTTGTGTGGCTTTTGTGTTTGCTTTTCGGTTCCATGGAGAGCGGATGTGGACTTCTTAAGTTCATCCCTCGGGTACAATTGTGCGACTTTAGCTAGAACTTAGGCTAGTTATATGTTAGAAACTCTTTTGGAAACTTTGATGTTGTTGGGGTTGTTTTATTAGTTTTGTGTGATGTCCTTTGTTTGTTGTTTTTATTTTTTTCAAACGACAAATACTATTATATATTCTCAAGTAAGGTACAATCGTAATTAAATGGTTACAAGATCATTTTAACTGTCACTAGAAACGGACCAGTGGGGAGTCACTTTAGTATAAGCTTTCCCCCCTCTACAAGAACAACCCTACAAAAACTCTCAAACAAGAGAGACAATGCTCCATAGAGGAGACCAAATGGAGATTAACAGAAAACAACAAAACAAAATACAAACTATCTAGTAATAAAATAAACTAACTATAAACTAATGCCCTCTGCAACTACCAACAAGGTTAGATAACGCCAACAACTGAGCCAGCAAATTGAAGTCGGACACAAAAAAAAAAAAACATTACGACAACTCAAACGTTCTGAAACTCCTAACTCCGTGATGGTAAAGTAAAGGTTATCCAAATTTGATACTCTTAGACGTGATTAATTTTTCAAAGCAGTCAAAAAACGAGACATCAATCGGACAAGACAAGGCCATCGTCACATCTCCTCAACTACGAAACTCAACTATTGACTTTAAGGTAGCGAAAAATTTGATAAAATAAAATACGACGAAATTATATCACCCCAATTAAAGTAATGTAACCAAACGGGCTCCAAAGTGTGGAAGGTAGCTAAGATGTTGATTACAAATTAGCTTCACAATCATCCATAATCCCGTATTTCAAAAATTCTATCTAGTCGTCGAATGGTTTTTTTATGGAGTCATCCATCACTTAATGTATTGACACATGTTCATATTGTACTAATTGTAAGACACGTGTGAATACACTATTGATGAATAAGTGTGGATTACTCCATGAGTCGAGTCATCCGATGACTCCATAGCAACTTTGTCCCAATATTATAATACAATCCAGGGATAAGTAGTAGTATTTTATCTAATCCATTTGTGTTTCTGGATATGAATTCCAGCTCGGATAAGCCATTTCTTATTTTTTCAGTTCTGTCCCTCGTCCTCCCCATGCCTGCCAAACTTTATAAATTGGCAATCTGAAAATCACGAGATTCAATTGAGAGTTATAGTGGTAATCCGTCGGACTTGTAGAGAGAGATGCTGAGAAGTTTGGCTAGGAGGATATCGTCATCTGCTTCCAGCCGATCCTTATCACGGCGGGGCAACCCGGGTTCCGACCTGACCCGATGCTTCTGCTCCAGTATCCTGCCGGACACACTCGACCGGAGCTCCGAATCCTTCGCCCGAAACTCGGAAGCCATGGAAGGCGTGATTTCTCAACTCCACTCGCACATTGAAAAGGTATTGTGCTGTTGTTACATACATTTGTCTCTTCTATAGCTCGTGAGTGAGTATGCGAACCTGAAAATGTTGGGGGTTTTGACGCTTGCAGGTGATGGGTGGCGGAGGGGCCGAGGCCGTGAAGAGGAACAGGAGCAGGAACAAGCTTCTTCCGAGAGAGAGGATCGATCGGTTGATTGATCCTGGTTCTTCATTTCTCGAGCTTTCCCAGGTTCAATTTTCCCATCTGATTTAAGGCCGTTCTTGTTGGTGGTATCATGATTTTGCTGTAAATATTGTTTCTGTTGAAGTCATGCGACGTTCGGATCATATCATACTTTACTGAATTTAAGTTGAATGTGTAAATCGAATGATGCGCAGCAGAGGGCCTCGTGGTGGTTGTTGTAATGGTCGATCGTTTTTTGGCACTTTGCATCTCTTGGGCTCATTAGCAATGTTGGAAAACAGATACAGTGTTAGCTCAATGCTTTAAAAGGGTAGTACTACTGACTCACAATGTAACGACAACAGCAACATAACATACCTGGGTTTATTTATTACTGCACACTTGTTTCCATTGTAGGAGTTTTAGTGCATGTTTAGCATTAAATCGTTTTATTAGAATACCCGATGATGATTATTAGAAGTTATGTTTGTCACACATCGATTAGTTATTGGGATATTATTGTGTATAAGTGTGGGTTGATACCTTCTCCCTTCGAGCTAGAGGTTGACTTCTACCCAGGCTCATTTATTATATCATCAGAGCACCCAAGTTTTGTTTGTTTGGAGGCGATGTTGGGTTTGGGCTTAATTTGTTGTGTATAAGTGTGGGTCGGATGCCCTCTTCCTTTGAGCTTGCTTTTGGGAATGAGTTTTACCTAGAACCATCTATCAATAATCAGTCAGTGAACTTTGTTATTAGTTGAGGTATCTCTCGTGATCTCCCTAATTTCATATTTTCTGAAACGTAGCTTGCTGGCCATGAATTGTATGATGATCCATTACCATCAGGTGGGATAATTACCGGGATTGGTCCAGTGCACGGGAACCTCTGTATGTTTGTCGCGAATGACCCTACCGTAAAAGGTGGAACATACTTTCCCATTACTGTCAAGAAACATCTTAGGGCACAAGAGATTGCAGCGCAATGCAAATTGCCCTGTGTGTATCTTGTGGACAGTGGGGGTGCATTCCTCCCGAAGCAAGCGGAGGTCTTTCCCGACAAAGAAAACTTTGGTCGGATTTTTTACAATCAAGCTCTGATGTCATCCGAAGGCATTCCCCAGATTGCATTGGTGCTGGGTTCTTGCACGGCAGGTGGGGCTTATATTCCTGCAATGGCTGATGAAAGCGTGATGGTCAAAGGAAGTGGAACCATATTTCTTGCTGGACCTCCACTTGTGAAGGTCAGTTGCAGCTTTTATTGAGCTAGAAGACCTTGGTCAGCATGTTGCTTGGTCATTATTCAGTCATTTTTTTTCATCCCCCTTTTAGTAATTAATAAATAAGACGTGTTTCCTTCTTGGTGCGAAGAGAACCTATTTATGCTTGGCTCAAAGATTTTTTTTTTTTTTTCCCCTGGACGTGTAAACATTTTTAAAAAAGATAATTGTTCGAAGTTTTGGTAGGCTGCTACTGGGGAGGAAGTTTCTGCAGAAGACTTGGGAGGTGCATCTGTCCATTGTAAAACATCTGGTGTAGCAGACTATTTTGCTCAAGGTAAATCTTCAGTTCATACATATATACGTATGTCTATTTCTCGTCCTCATCGTTTTTCTTTTAGTTGTTTTCCGGATAATCAAACTGTGAAGTTATATCCATATTGTAGATGAACTTCATGCACTTGCTATAGGAAGAAATATAGTTAAAAATCTGCATATGGCTGGGAATATGAGTCCACAGAATCATAGAACATCTTTTACGGAGCCTTTATATGATGTGGCTGAACTGCGTGCAATTGCACCAACTGACCTCAAGCAGTCATTCGATATCCGATCAGTTATTTCACATATTGTCGACGGTAGTGAGTTTGACGAATTCAAGAAACTCTATGGCAGTGTAAGCCCTTTTATTCCTGTCTTATATGTGGTTCTTTCACTGGCCTATTATTAGGAATTTTAATTCCGTGTTTTGTTTTCCATTATACAGACGCTAGTAACTGGTTTCGCAAGAATATGCGGCCAACCTGTTGGAATAATTGGGAATAATGGTATACTGTTTAACGAATCCGCTTTGAAAGGGGCTCATTTCATCGAATTATGTACTCAACGCAACATCCCATTGATATTTCTTCAGAATATCACTGGATTCATGGTAAGCTGTACCTCTGCTCTTCCCTATTACCCACGGTGGTTTGACGGAATTTATACTGCTTGAATTATGGTGATGAATTCATTATCTGGTAACTTTGTTACATTGGTTTACTTCTTTTTTATATTTCTTGATCAGAATAAGCATGTGACATATGAGATGTAAACAGTTACTACCATGATTAACATCGTGTTGTAAATGACATAAGTTAAAACCACTAATTCCCACTCCTGACATGTTCGATATTTTCCCAGTAACTTGGCTCGTGTTTGCCTCTTTATCTTATTTGAGCTATTACATCACAAAGAAGAGACTATTAATTTGGAAATTCATTAAGATATGCCCTAGTAAAACAAATATTGTAGGTTGGCTCAAAATCTGAGGCCAATGGTATAGCAAAATCTGGAGCTAAACTGGTGATGGCAGTTTCGTGTGCAAAGGTTAGTTTCTCCCAATAATCATCATTACACCATTTATATCGTGCTATTTTTCATTTTTCAATTTGTCTTCTCTTTTGTTTTTCAACCAAATTGCATTTAGGTTCCCAAGATTACAGTTATAGTAGGTGGAAGCTTTGGGGCTGGAAATTATGCAATGTGTGGACGTGCATACAGCCCTAATTTCCTGTTCTTTTGGCCGAATGCCAGAATCTCTGTCATGGGTGGGGCTCAGGTAAATATTACACATTTGTAGTTAAAACCAGTTCATCTTATGAATTTATCTTTAAAAAACAAAAACATCATGTTAATTCTTACAAGATTTTGAAGTTTTCCCATTAAAATTACTCGCACGATTTTCTTCAGGCTGCTGGCGTGCTGGCCCAGATTGAACGTGTGAACAAGAAAAAGGCCGGAATCGAGGTAAATATTTTCGGTTTGGCTCTCGACTAGACTTTCTTCAATTAAGCACACATTTCTCTCACATTATATATATATAATGTGCAGTGGGCCAAGGATGAAGAGGAGAAATTCAAGGCGGGTGTTGTTGAGGCATACGAACGAGAGGGCAGTGCATACTACTCGACCGCGAGGCTTTGGGACGATGGCGTGATCGACCCAGCAGACACGAGAAATATATTGAGCTTGTGCTTAGCCGCTTGTTCGAATCGTGGCCCTCAGAGTACGAAATACGGTGTCTTTAGAATGTGATGATAGTTAGCCCATTTGAGTTGCTGATAAACCAAAGGAAAAAGAAATATATATAGCAGCAACTTAGGGCTTTGTTGTTGTCAAGGACTGAAGGAGGCAAAGGCATGTAGTAAGAAGATGTTGGGAAATAGGCATTCCATGATTCAATTTGATGTTAAGTTTGTTCTCGTTGCCATGTGTATATAAAGAAGAAATATAAATAATACAATTAAGCTTTTTCCCCTTTATGTTCTTGGCGGTTAGAAGTTCTATTGAATTTGGATACTCAGAGATACAAAACGCACTGTATTTGTTTAGTGTTGCTCTGTTGTAACGAGCGCTCGTGGCCTAATGGATAAGGCGCCTGACTTCTAATCAGGCGATTGTGGGTTCGAGTCCCACCGGGCGTGTAAGTTTTTTTTTTTATGTGTTATGCTGTTCTTGTTATGTTTATTTTTTATTTATAATCACTAGTACAACGTCCGTGTATTACACGGGTGCTTGCTAATTTTTCCTTAAAATCTAAACTTAATGAAAAAAGGTAGTTGAAAATTTAAATACTTTTTATAAAAATATATATATTATTATATATTAGTGACACTTTTTATTTGTGCGACTTACATGTGTTATATTATAATAATTTTTTGACTTACAACATATAACTCATTAAACATAAATATATCAATTGAGAAATAATTTTATTTTTTTTAATGAATTTTAATAAATATTATTTATTATTATTATAAGGATAAATATAATTTAATTATTTTATACATACAATATGGGTGTCAAAGCGAAGATCATCAAAAAATGATTAATCTGATATATTATATATGCAAAACCGATAAGAAATACAAAAGTTATCAACTTTTAAAATACATATACAATTCAATAGCTAATTGAAGGAAACAAATCAAAAGTCAGTGATATATTAGTCACTTAGTGCCTCACTATGTAAAATTACAAAGAATTAAAGGGTTATATTAGTACAAGTGATATTAAAATACCTAAGTTAGCTAAATAATATTTATGGAATGTCCGAACCTAGATTATTAGTTATTAATATATCAATATTATTTGTTCAAACTTAATTACGATGCATAATTCTTCGTCAAGTAGGATTTCGAAGCACCAAAAGCAGCCACATAGGCTCAGTGCATTCGGGTATTATATAGGGGAGGGGATTCTTTTCCCTTCTGAGCTGCTAAAATATAATTTATGTGGGCTTTTTCAGTCAGCAAGACTCATGAACCCTATAGCAGTCTTGTCTAGGGATCCCTGAGGTAGCCGTGCACGGGTTAGTATTATTATATACAAAAATAAACAAATCCTCCCTATATATAATTCTCGAATGCGCTGAGCCTATGTGGCTGCTTCTAGTGCTTTGGAATCCTACTTAGCGAAGATTCATGTTTCGTAATTAGGTTTGGACAAATAATATTGATATATTAATAATTAATAATCTAGGTTCGGACATTCCATAAATATATATTATTTAGCTAACTTAGGTATTTTAATATCATTTGTACTAATATAACCTTTTAAATTTTGTAATTTTACATAGTGAGACACTAAATGACTAATATATCCCTGACTTTTGATTTGCTTCATTCAATTAGCTATTGAATTGTAAATGTAATTTAAAAGTTGATAACTTTTGTATTTCTTATCGGTTTTATATATATAATATATCAAATTAATCATCTTTTGATGATCTCCGATTTGACATCCATATTGTAAGAAAGTGGGAAAAATATGTTCTGTGTTATTCACAAAGACATATACACATATAAGAAACCATTTAACATAACTAACACCCCCCCCCCTCAAACTCAAGGTGGTATAGTGGAGATCAACTTGAGTTTGCTAAGAAGTAAACAAAAGCGACCGGGAAGGAGAGGCTTCGTGAAGACATCCGCTGGTTGATCTATAGAGGAGACGGAAACAAGCTTCACAGTCCCATGTGCAACATGCTGTCGAATGAAGTGACAGTCAATCTCAATATGCTTAGTACGCTCATGAAATGTATCATTATGAGACATCTTTATAGCACTCTGACTATCACAATGTAAAGCAGTAGACACCGACTGAGGTGCACCAAGATCAGCAAGTAGTCGACGCAGCCATAATAACTCTGAGGTGGAATCAGCAAGAGCACAATACTCAGACACAGCACTCGATCTGGAAACCAATGTTTGCTTCTTACTGCGCCAAGAGACAAGTGAATCACCAAGAAAGAAGCAGTACCCAGTAATAGAACGACGATCAGTAGGATCTCCAGCCCAATCTGCATCAGAATAACCGCTAAGCGTCAAAGAAGAATGGGCCGAGAAGTGTAAACCATGCAATAGAGTGCCCTTCACATAGCGAAGGATGTGCAACACAGCAGAATGATGCGTGGTTCTCGGAGCAGCCATAAACTGACTCACAATATGAATAGCATGAGCTATATCAGGCCGAGTGACAGTCAAGTATATCAAACTCCCAACAAGCTGACGATATAATGTAGGATCCTCAAGAAGAGAGCCATCAAGTGGAGTAAGACGAACATCATAATCAAGAGGAGTGGAAGCTGTCTGACAATCAGTGAGACCGGCCCGAGCAAGAAGATCAGAGGCATACTTGGCTTGAGACAAATAGAATCCATCTGACGAATCAGAGATCTCAAGACCCAAAAAATAGCGAAGCTGACCCAAACTCTTCATCTCAAAATGCTGACGAAGATAATCCTGCAAATCGGAAATACCGGTAATATCATCCCCCGTGATGATCATATCGTCAACATAGAGTAGCAAAATAATGATCCCGGAGGAGGAGCGCCGAAGAAATAAAGCAGAATCGTGATCACTCGTAGTGAAACCAAACTGAAACAATGCAGAACTGAACATGGCATACCAAGCACGAGGCGCTTGTTTCAAGCCATACAAAGCTCGACGTAGATGACAAACTTTCCCAGATGACAATGATCCAGGAGGAGGAGTCATGTAAACCTCCTCAGACAAGGCACCGTGTAAGAAGGCATTCTTGACATCTAACTGTAGAAGAGACCATCGACGAACAGCAGCAACTGCAAGTAAACACCAGACAGTAGTAAGACAAGCAACCGGTGCAAAGGTCTCTTCATAATCTATGCCATACTCCTGGGAGTAACCCTTAGCAACCAACCGAGCTTTGTAGCGCTCAATAGATCCATCTGAATTTGTCTTGATCTTATACACCCACTTACATCCGATGGGAGTCTTGCCAGCAGGTAAATCCACAAAATCCCAAGTATGAGTCTTTTCTAAGGCCTGTAATTCCTCAGTCATAGCTTTTTGCCACAATGGATCAGCATTCGCCTCACGAAAAGATTGAGGCTCATGATGAGATAGAATGGCCGAATAACAATGTTAGTCAAGTAAGTTAGAAGGGGGACGACTTACACGAGTCGACCGTCGCTGATCAATAGCTGGCAAAGGTGCAGAATCAGAAGAGGGCTCAGTACGAACTGTCGGTTCAGGATGCACAGGTGGAGCCACTTCAGAAGACGGAGGCATGACAAGCGTGTCAATGAGCTGTGAGTCAGAACCTATATCTGTATCTGGAAGAAGATCTGAAGTAATAGACATGAATAAAGGAGACGCCGAATCAAACGGAATATGGAACTTAGACAAGGAGGAAAAGGTAGTATGCTCCCAAAAGGTAACATGACGCGAAATACGCAACCGATTAGAAATTGGATCCCAACACCTAAATCCTTTGTGTTCTACCCCATAACCTAAAAAACAACACAGACGAGCTCGGGGTTCTAATTTGGTTCGCTCATGGGACGGAAGAAGAACAAAGCAAACACAACCAAAAGGACGTAACTGAGTATAATCAGGAGACTGACCGTACAACCTCTCAAAAGGACTGACATCACTAATGACTGAAGAGGGCAACCGATTGATAGCATAAACAGCAGTCAAGGCTGCCTCACCCCAAAAACGATCAGGACACTGAGCAGAAAGAAGAAGGGCCCGGATAGTATCAAGAATGTGACGGTGTTTACGTTCAGCTCGTCCATTTTGTTGGGAAGTATATGGACACGAACGCTGAACTAAGGTGCCCTGATCAGAAAGAAATTTCAAAAAAGTAGAATCTTTGTACTCAAGAGCATTATCAGTACGCAAGACCTTTATAGGACAAGAAAATTGGGTAAGAATCATGTTAGCAAATTGAACATATATGCTGGACAACTCAGAACGATTTTTGAGAAAATAGATCCAGGTAAAACGAGAAAAATCATCAACAAAAATAACAAAATACCGAAAACCACTCAGAGAAGCAACAGGAGAAGGACCCCAAATATCAGAATGTACCAAACCAAAAGGTTTATCAGCAGTTGACAAACTATCAGAAAAAGAAAGAGCCGGTTGTTTCCCAAGTTTGCAATGAAGACAACTAAAAGACTCAAAATGACCTGAACCCAAAAGACCCTTATTATATAAAGAACGAACTTTATTTGAAGACGCATGCCCAAGACGAAGATGCCATTGGAAACTAGACTTACTATCGGTGGCAGAAGCAGAAAAAGAGTAAGAACGAGGGACATGAAGTGACTCAAGCTCAAATAACCGGCCCGTCTTGCGACCTTTCCCGAGAAGCCGTCCCGTCTGTGAATCCTGAACCTGAACACCAGAAGATGAAAATATAACATTAAGACCTTGGTCAACCAATTGACCAACCGAAATAAGATTCAAGGCCAAGTCAGGAACGCAGTATGTGTCGGGAAGATGCAAGGAAGGGGAAGAAATCAAACCAGTGTGAGTAACATTCATAAGAGTACCATTAGCAGTATGTATAGGAGGTAAAGAGGTTACGGAAGACGAGGAAGACAAAAGCTGCGGGCTAGAGGTCATGTGATTGCAATAGCCAGAATCAAAATACCAATGTGATTTACCTCCGGTAGCAGACATAGAAGAATTGGAAAGAATAACCTGTTTGAGAATAGCTTCTATGTCTTGAAGATTGTAAGACGGATGCTGAGGCTCAGTAGTGACAGCCGCTGTAACAGAAGAAGTGGCGGTGGAGGAAGACCCATGATGTCGATAGAATGAACCTCTCGAACGGTGCGATCTGGCTGGACAATATGTAGCAATATGACCCCGAACATGGCAAATGTGGCACACCACCGTAGGACAAAATGGAGCAATATGACCCCGAACATGGCAAATGTGGCAGACCACCATAGAAGAATCCATATCCAAAAAATAAAGAAGCACCAGCAACCAGCAAAAGTACCAAGTCGAAAGAAAATTACGAACGAGATCACAAATCGGATAAAATAGCAGTAAAAGGCCGAAATTAAAAGTTCACCAAAACCAAATCCGAGCACACCACAAGGTAGCCGACGATGAGAGGAGTCGACGGCCGAAAAAACGACGGTGATCGGAGCAGGGGATGGTCCTCACGCGCCGTCGGAAGCTGCCGGCGCTGTCGCACTGTTCCGGCGAGTGTGGGGCCCACGCGCGGAGTTACGGCCTGAAATTTCCGGCGAATGCTCGCCGTGAGACGCCGGAGGTGATGGTCTGGGAGGTGAGAATGAACGGTGGCCGGAGATGAACGAGAAAACATGAAACTTATATTGGACCCTAACCTAGTCTGATACCATGTAAGAAAGTGGGAAAAATATGTTCTATGTTATTCACAAAGACATATACACATATATATAGATACATAGAAGGCCTAAACCTAACTTATTGTACAAGAAACCATTTAACATAACTAACACATATTGTATATATGAAATAAATAAATTAAATTTATCTTTATAATAATAAAAAATAATAATATTTATTATAATTCATTAGAAAAATAAAATTATTTTTCAATTGATATATATTTATATGTTATAAGTTAAAAAATTATTATAATATAACATAGGTAAGACAAATAAAAAAATGTCAAACTAAATCTATAATAATATATATATTTAAAAGGTATTTAAATTTTCAACTACTTTTTCTCATTAATTTTAAATTTTTTAAGAAAAAAATTAGCAAGTACTCATGTAATACACAGGCGTTGTACTAGTAAATAAAATAGTACGCAAATAAAGTACAGTCAAATACAACACTATTTATCAACTCTACAACACTCTTCAACTCTACAGCAGAGCTCACAAACTATCGTCTACACTGCACATCGATTTATGTTGGTTAGCATTTCAATTTTTTTTTTTTTTTTTTTAATTCATTGTATTTTTCTTGCTTTATTATATTATCGTCATCAAACTCTCTTCCCCGTTCGGCCATCGCCAAACACATTTTGTGAAAAACCTAGAAAAATTGCTTATTCGGATTACTGTAAACCACAGACAACTGCAAGTCTAATCTACACTAATTTTATTTTCTCCGTTTTTTTTTTTTTTGTTTGGTTGATCATATTTTTGCAGCCCTAAATCGACTCGATAGCTTGATATCGGCTTCAGGTATGTCTTCCTCTCTTTTGGGGTTTTTTGATATGATTTGGGTAAAATACTTTTTCCCATCCGAACTATCACGGTTTTGGGGCATCACCATATCAACTATTTTTTTTTTACAAATCACCATATGAAAACTATACGCGTTTGTCAATGTGCCCCTAAACTAGATGTAAAAGTGGTTTTGACTGAAAAAGTTGTTTGGTCACCATATGTGCCTCCTAAATACTTTGACAAACCACCATATGAACTATCACGGGTTTGTCGATGTGCCCCCTAAACCACTTTTATATCCGGTTTAGGGGGCATATTGACTACCCCTGAACTATTTTGAAATGTGCTGTCTTTGAGTTGAAGCTTTAGATCTTTAATTGCTTTGATCGGTTTGCTGATTGTTGGTTGAGTAAATTCTTAAGAAAAATTTAAATTCGATTTTTTTGTGATTATTCAGTGGCCTATCGTTTTCTTTACTCTGTTGATGTTCACTAGGTATACCGCAATGGCCTATAAATCTTTGTGGTGGACCTTGAATTTTCCTCTGTTCTAATGAAATTAGGTTAATTTATGAAAAAGAAAAAAAAAAAAATCTTAATTTGATCATTTGGAGCTGTACTGCGTTTTCCTCCCAGTGGTAGTCAAGCTCTTTTGCTCCCTTTATATTATATTTAGTTGGAACTTCTGAAGGTCGTCATCAACTTAGTTGGATATATGGGAACCGGGTTTGGAATCTGCAAACATGCAGTTTAATTTTTGTAAAAAGCATTCGTAATCAAGTAACTCGATTCTTTAAAGCTTTCAACTTTCGCCTATTTCTTCAACTAAATTTACTAAACACACTCTAAGTTGCCAACCATCACAAAACTGGCATGGTTAACAATTTATTATTCTTTAATTAACAAAAAACTAGCATGCCCCCAAACGTGTTACATCGTTATTATCCTCACCTAACCCTTATCTGGTTTATTAATGTCTTCCGGTGGTGATATTTTATTAGCCCTAATCTTGAGAATGACCATCTCCACCTGCCGAGCTGCCTCCGCTAACCTGCGCCCCCTCTCATATCCTTCTTTCACTCGATCACTACCGGCGAACATTTCTCTTATCTTCACCGTTAAACAGGATTTTAGCTCCCTCCGACTGAAATCGAAGTTCTCGAACCAAAGAACGAAAGCATCAATGGAAGAGATCGTGACTCCGAAGAGCAAAGGGAAAGTCCAAGTGTTTGACACGGAGGATGATCTGGCGGTGGCGCTCGCAGAATACACCGCCAATCTAGCCAATAGAATCTCCCGAGATAAGGGCTTGTTTACTGTCGTTTTCTCTGGTGGTTCTCTTGTTAAGTCCCTCAGGTTAAGTTTTTTTTTTTCCCCGATCTGTGTCACTTTTGCAACATGATTGAAATTGTGGGTATTCTGCTTAGTGCTTACTGATTTTTTATTTCCACATTTTTTCCTCTATGCTAATTCTGAAGTCAGATGATAATTATTATTTACAGCCGCAGTAAATAATATACTGTCAATGCCAATTATCATTTAATCATGATATTTACTTTTGCTTATCCTATTTCATATATTGACTTCGTGTTTGGTGATGAAATTAAAGGAAACTGGTGGAGCAGCCTTACATCAATTCAGTTGATTGGTCAAAATGGCACATATTTTGGGTGGATGAAAGAGTGGTACCTAAGGACCACCCAGATAGCAATTACCTCCTTGCCTACAATGAGTTCCTTTCGAAGGTATTGCTTTCTTTAATGAAATTGACTATCTCTGTGTGATATGATACATATGAGCTGATGATATGAACAACTTGGACAATGTGATTTTGAATTCATCAAATGATAGATTTGTGACTTGAATGCACACTAACAAAAAATGATACAGTCCTTGCATGTCTGGGGTATAAAGTTATATGATGCACCTTTTTTATTATCAATTTATAGCCAGACGACTTTTTGTTTAAGCATTTAATGATTATTCATGATATATTAAGCAATGAAATGAGTCAGCTTCAAAAGTGATACGTATCTATGTTTAAGGTTTCCATAGTTCAGTTATGTTACTTAATTAGGGTTAGAATTAGGTGATGGGTTGGGCATTTGCTTAGGAACCCTAGTTAAAGAACAGAGGAGCCTTTGGCTTAGGCAGTAAAAATCCTGATCGGCGTTTGCACTTGGGGCAGGCTCGCCTGCAATTGTTTCCAGTTCTTCTTGTTTCTTTTGCTTTATATTAGTTATCAATTTCAGTTTTGATTATCTTTTTCTTCTCGTTTCTTTTGCTTTCTATTAATTATCAATTTCAGTTGTGAATTTCTTCTTGCAATCCGCTCTTCACTCTGTCAAAAAGCAAAAGATCTCTATATCAATGCTAGTAGGGTTCACATTCAAAAGCTGCATAGCTTCAAGAACAGCACTGAAATGTGATCACAGAAATTCGGAGAAATTTGTAGGACCAGCTACAAAGTTCACTACGTCCCAGCAGATTCAATCAGATATACAAATATACAGCTATAATCTTCAGTATAACACCACCTAAAGGATTAAACATCATCACAGTCAGTTGGTTCCTCATAAACCGAAGCAGTAACAATCAATAAGACATTAAGAAAATAGATGAAATCCAAAAGCTTCAGATTTAGGAAGGAGAGTTACTTACAGAACGGAAAATAAAAGCCAATTGGGAAAGAAGAATTCTTGAGATTTTACTTACAGAATGGAATCTCACCACCTAGTTTTTTCTACTTGCATTTGTCAGAGGCAAGATTGCTTTTAAATCTTTCTTGCATCATGTTGCATCATGTTGCGATGTTGCGATGTTAGTAAGCTTCATGTTGCGATGTTAGTAAGCTTAAGGCTTTCTTGTTTTAGCAGTTGTTCTGGGGTAGAATCAAGTTTGATTAAAATTATCAATCTAAAAGAGCATAAGCAAGAACTTAGTTTTAAATAGAGGTTTGATTGCTATCAACAATTTGATCTGTTGATCTGATTCTTTTATTTGTTCGCTCCACGAGGATGTGTGTGTGCGTGTATATTTTTTCAGACTTCGAAGACTTTTGTTTTGCTCGACTGAATCACACTACTGGAACCAGTAGTTTCTGTCACATTGAAATATTGTGGTTAAAAACCCATCATCGTTGCAAATAATTTATTGCATTGTCGAATCGTGGAAAAATCCCTGAAACAAAAAACTTAATTGTCACAACTTCGTTTGTTGCAAAAAATATATATATTTATATCCCTCCCTATATATTAATTCAAAACATGTTGAGCCTAAGTGGCAGATTCTCATGCTTCGGATGCTGACATGGCGAAAATCTATGTTTCGTAATATTATTTATATATTAACTTTTGCTTTGGAGTTAGGCTTGGTATCAGACATAAATAACTTTTTTCAAACTTAGGAAGTGTAGATTTAATTTTATTATTTTTTTTTCTCTCAGTACACATTTCCTTCATAGTTTCGGCAAGTAGCAATCTTACCATATTGTAATTTTCTCTCCTATTTATCTCCTAAATTACGATTTACAAATCACATTCTACATTCTCTATTCCTCTTTTTTTTTTTCATTAATTAGTCCATCAAAATTTTTAAATAAAAAAATTATTTTAGCAAAAACTTCTATCATATATTTTTTAACTCAACACCCGTGTAGTACACGGGTATTGTACTAGTATATATTTATTTATGATAATTCATAATGTTATTTGCCATTGCCCGTTATTTCATTGATGCTATAATTTTGTTATTTTGCAATACCTGTATTTTTAAAATGTTTTTGTAAATATACACGGCTATATTTTGTGTTTTTTTTTTTTTTTACCGTGTCAAGTGCTAAAACCCTCGAGGCACTGTCCTAAACACGGATAAAGCCGGTAAATTGATCATTCTCAAAATTTTTAGACCACCAACGCAAGCGGCTGTACATATTACATGATTTATTTTTGCACAAATTGTGCATTCTTTGTAATAATTTCTATATACAACTGTCAACTACCAAATAAGATATCTTTACGGTGTCAAATTCATTTTATGTTTTACGATGTGACATAAATAAAATCCACTTCTTCCTACAGGTTCCAATTCCTCCCAGTAATGTACACGCCATAAACGATTCATTATCAGCAGAAGCTGCTGCCAAAGATTACGAGACGCGCCTCAATCGTCTAGTGAAATTCAAAGCACTCGACCAATCTCAAAATAGTAAATTCCCCAAATTCGATCTCATGCTAATGGGCATGGGCCCGGACGGCCACATTGCTTCTTTATTTCCCGGTCACCCTCTCGGTCATGAAACCGAGAAATGGGTTTCGTTTATCAATGACTCGCCTAAACCTCCCCCGGAAAGAATTTCATTCACTCTCCCGGTTATAAATTCTTCGGCAAATGTAGCCCTTGTTGTGGCCGGTGCTGGCAAAGCGAGTGCAGTTTATACTGCGCTTAGCGATGTTTCGAATTGTGAGGTGCTTCCTGTTGGGCTTGTCGAGCCCGAAGGTGAGTTGACTTGGTTCTTAGACAAGGAGGCAGCTTCGAAACTTTGATGTTTATGTGTGAAATCGAGATATCTATCAGGTTGTACGGAGAAATAAGGTGTTTTTGCATTGTATTAATAAAGAAGAATTTTTTGGTTGGATTTTCTTGAATTTTTAGACTGCAGAAGGAATGGTTCTTGTTGAATGTTGAACAACCTTAAATAGCTGTTTGCAGGGATCAAGATTTCAAGTTTTGGGCTTATCCTTTATTAATAGTGGTGAGGTTTTATTATGTTATTTGTTAGTTTTAAATGTGTGCAAGAATGTGCAGAAATTGGTGAATGTAAAATGCATCAGTTGGGTGGGTGAAAAGAAAATGTGCTTGCCGTGTTTGGGTAATTTTCAAAAAAAAATGGATCTTTCTTTTTAGGGGATATAAAGACATGAGTTTTTTGTACATTAGTTTGTTTATCCTAAATGGCAACAAATTCATTATTTTGGTTCCTTTTATTACCTAGAGTGGGTTGAACAATTAGAGCTGTCAAAACGGGCTGGCGAGGCTGATCGGCATGTAGCCCACCAAAGCTTTTTGTTATCGAGATATGTTGCATGGTGTAACTATAATCGAATCTCTATAGATGGCGACATATTATCACATATGGTGTATATGGCTTCACATTTTTTATAGTTTATGATGATTCATGATGTTCCATCTGAGGAAGCATGTGCAGTTTATACACATCATGAAATTTGTGAGTTGCTTACCTATAGTAGTTTATACACATGATGAAATTTGTGAGTTGTTTACCTATAGTAGTTTATACACATCATGAAATTTGTGAGTTGTTTACCTATAGTAAAACGCTGCTAGGGGTGACCAAATCGAATCGAAAGTAACAAATAAAGCCAAATTGATTGTTTACGTTGTCAGAGGTGACGAAGATCGAATCGAAGCATAATAAATAAAGCCAAATCGATTGGTTTGCTGCTAATTCGATTTGCATTTTTAAACTGTAGATAGAGGTTGATTTAGTATGATTTTGGTTATACTTTTATACTGTAGATAGAGGTTGATTTAGTATGATCGTTATACTGGTCCAATATGCACAAAATTGGTCCAATGTGCACAATACTTAAATAGTTAGTTATCCAGAAGATATGCAAAGTATGAATTGTTAAAAAAAAAATTAAAAAATCAAGATAACTAGTAATTTTATAAGTACGTGTAAGTAATTCGTTTACTAACATACAACAAGAACAACAAAGCCTTTTAGTCTCAAACAAGTTGAGGTAGGCTAGAGATGAAACCCAAGAGAAATAATGATAAGAGAAACCCAAAAAAAGGGCTCAAAACAAAACAAAACAAAATAAAACAAAAACAAAACTCAAAACAAAAACAAAAGGAAGAGATTGGAGAAAAAGAGAAATGAGCAAAAGTCACGGTTCCGGCAGGTTGATCGCTAGCCTCCAAGCGCTCCTATCCACCGCTAAATCCTTGGAGATATTCCAATTTTTAAGGTCTTTCTGAACCGACTCTTCCCAAGTGAGTTTAGGTCGACCTCTACCTCTCTTAACATCATCGGCCCGCTGTAGAACTCCCATACGCGCCGGTGCATCGGGAGGTCTCCGTTGGACATGTCCGAACCATCTCAGCCGATGTTGAACCAATTTCTCCTCAATTGGAGCCACCTCGACCCTATCTCGAATATCCTCACTCCGGATTTTATCCCTTCTTGTGTGCTCGCAAAACCAACACAACATCCGCATCTATGTTACACTTAGTTGTTGGACATGTTGCCTTTTTGTAGGCCAACACTCAGCACCGTATAGCATTGGGGGGAATCGCCGTCCTATAGAACTTACTTTTTAGCCTTTGTGGCACTCTCTTATCACAGAGAACGTCTGAAGCTTGACGCCATTTCAACCAACCGGCTGCAATTCTATGCCTAAGATCTTCATCAATGCCGCCATCATTTTGTAGCATCGATCCTAAATACCGAAAAGTCTCCTTCTTGGCCACCACTTGCCCGTCAAGGCTAACGTCACCATCATCATGAGTAGCCATGCTGAATGCGCACGTCATGTACTCGGTCTTCGTCCTACTAAATCTGAAACCTTTCGACTCTAACGTGTCCTTCCACAGCTCTAACTTCCTATTTACCCCTGCCCTACTCTCGTCAACTAGCACCACATCATCAGCAAAGAGCATACACCAAGGGTTATCACCTTGTATGTCCCTCGTGACCTCATCCATCACCAAGGCAAATAAATAAGGGCTCAATGCTGACCCCTGGTGTAGTCCTATTTTAATTGGGAAGTCGCTGGTATCGCCCCCACATGTTCGGACACACGTCATCGCATCCTTGTACATATCCTTGATGAGGGTAATGTACTTAGATGGGACTTTGTGCTTTTCTAAGGCCCACCACATGACATTCCTCGGTACACTGTCATAAGCCTTCAAGGTTGATAAAGACCATGTGCAAGTCCTTCTTTTGATCTCTATATCTCTCCATCAACTGACGTATTAGGAAAATCGCCTCCATGGTCGACCTTCGAGGCATAAACCCAAATTGGTTTTGGGTCACACTCGTCACTCGTCGCAGGCGATACTCGATAACCCTCTCCCAGAGCTTCATCGTACGGCTCGTCAACTTAACTCCACGGTAGTTACCACAGCTTTGAACATCACCCTTGTTCTTGAAGATCGATACTAAAGTACTTCTCCTCCATTCATAGACATATTGTTTGACCAGAAGATGAGGTTAAAAATATTAGTTAGTCATACTAACGCTCTGGCGCCCAAGCATCTCCACACCTCAATGGGATACCATCAGGGCCCATTGCTTTGCCACCATTCATCCTCTTCATAGTCTCTCTGATCTCTGCCTCTCGCATTCTCCTCACCAAGCGTCTATTGTTATCCTCAAATGAGTCAACCAACTCCAGGGTAGGACCCTGTCGTTTCGTAAAATGGAAAAAAAAAAAAACTCCAGGGTAGGACCCACACTCCCCATTAAACAATTTGTCGAAGTACTCTCGTCATCTGTCCTTGATCTCCTCATCCTTCATCAGTGGCCGATCCATCCTTGATGCATTTGAGGACTAACATAATATTTAAAATATTATATATTCATAATATTCTATAAACTTATAAAAATAGTAAAATTTATATAGTTAATAGTTGAGACCTATAAAAATAAATTAAATTTAAATAAAAAATATTCAAATAAACTTAAAAATAAATTAAATTTAAATAAAAAAATATTCAAATAAACTTAAAAATAAATTAAATTTAAACAAAAAAATATTCAAATAAACTTATATTATTACCGACTTAATATTGTGTGGCATTGACAAGAATATTATCGTAAATAATTTAATATTAATTATTTTTTTTGTACTAAAAAAAAAAAAATTGTACCCAAAAAAATAAAAATAAAATAAAATAATAGTTTATAGCTAGTAACAGAAGTTACAGTCAAATACAACACGCTCATCAACTCTTACGTTTGGGTTTGGCAAAGCTTACCATTACCAACTATCGTCTACCCATCTATTTATGTCGGTTAGCCTTTGATATATTTTTTTTATTATTATTATTCATTTTTATTTTTCTTGCTATATTCTCGTCACCAAACTCTCTTCCCCTTTCGGCCATCGCCAACCCATTTTGTGAAAAAAAACCCTAGATAAATTGCTGTAAACCACACAGGCCTGCAACTTTAATCTACACTCCATAGACGATTTCTTGCAGCCCTTATCGACTCCATAGCTTGATGTCGGCTTCAGGTTAGTCTTGCTTTCTTCTGGGCTTCTTTGATTTGAGTAGAAATATTTGGTTTTTCTGTTTTTTAAATGTGCTGTTTTTGAGTTGTACCTTTGGATCTTGAATTGCTTTGATCGGTTTGTGAGTGATTGGGCGGCCTATCATTTGATGTTCGCCGAGTATAGCGCAATGGCCTATAGTTCTTTGTGGGTTTCATGGGTTTTCCTCTGTTGTAATGAAATTAGGTTAATTTTATTGAAAACAAGAATCTTAATTTGATCATTTGGAGTTGTACTGCGTTTTCTCCGAAGTGGTAGTCGAGCTCTTTTGCTCCCTTTATATTAGATTTAGTTGGAACTTCTGAAGGTCGCCATCAATTGTGGTTTTACCGATATATAGGAACCGGTTTTGAAATCTGCAATCGTGCGGTTTAATTTTGTAAAGTATTCGTAGTCATTCGAAATGTATGCCAAGACATATACCGATGGCCCGAAATTTCTCCGCTTGCTACACGTTGGTCCAAATTTTGTTTTACGACACCAATGTTAATGGTTTATGGTGTGGGTATTTATTCCCATTATTTAGGTTTTCCTAACAATAATGTCTAATTTTACCGATTTACAAGATCTTGGTACGTCGCCAGAGATTAATAAAAGCATGTCGAAGGTATCTAGTTAGAAGATATTGAACTGTGATTAGAGCTAATAATATCTGAAGTATTAGCAGAACAAAGATTGTTATTGTCATTACTTAAATTTAAGCTTGGGTTAAAATACTCAACTGCTATGATCTCCTAGTTGAGCTATATTTCAGTTTTAGTAGCACGAAATTCATCTCAAGTAGTTTTGTGACCATATTTACTCTATTGTCTCGACTTTTATGTCTTTCTGCTCATATTTCTTTATTAAACAATCTTTCTCTCTTACTCATTCGCCACGCATTTTAAACCCAAACAGCAATGTCATCATCAAGCCCAAAAACACCGACTCCAGAACCTCCTTCTCCAAATCAAATCCCGAGCCCGAACCAGGCCCGAACAATTCTAAATGGGCCCGTCGCAATTCTCTGGGACATCGAGAACTGCCCCGTCCCATCCGATGTTCGGCCCGAAGATGTGGCAGGAAATATCCGCATGGCACTCCGAGTCCACCCCATCATACGAGGCGCCGTTACTATGTTCTCAGCATACGGAGACTTCAACTCTTTCCCGAGGCGCCTTCGTGAGGGCTGTCAGCGGACAGGTGTCAAGCTCGTAGACGTCCCGAACGGGCGCAAAGATGCAGCCGATAAAGCAATCTTAGTCGACATGTTTCTCTTCGCCCTCGACAACTCTCCGCCTTCTTCCATTGTCCTAATCTCGGGAGATGTCGATTTTGCCCCTGCCCTTCATATTCTCGGCCAGCGAGGCTACACTGTGGTTCTCGTCATCCCTTCGAAAATCGGGGTCTCGTCTGCTCTGTGCAGCGCGGGTAGGTTCGTCTGGGATTGGTCGAGCGTCGTTCGTGGGGAGGGTTTTTTCCCTCCTCCGGCGGCGAGGCTCGCTGGAGATCTTGCCCGGATTAGCGACGAGGCGGAGGAGGAATCTATTGTTTATAAGGGGATATGCGATTTGGGCCTGCAGAGCCCGAGCGAGGCCCAAGTGGGAAATTGTTGCGGGCCGAACGAGGTGAATGATGGTGTGGCGTGGGTCCAGCCGGGGGATTTGAATGGGCTCAAGGGGCAAATCGTGAAGCTGGTCGAGATGTCGGGTGGGGTTCTGCAGCTGATGAAACTCCCGTCCGAGTACCAGAGGAATTACGGGCGGCCGCTTTATGTCTCGGAATATGGGTCGGGTAAGCTCGTGAACCTTCTAAAGAAAATGGTTGATGTGGTTTCGGTCGAGGGGACGGGCCAGAAAAAGGTCGTATGCCTTCAGAGCCCGAGAATCGGGCTCGATAGCCGCCAGCCAGTCATTTTGGCGAAGAGGGAGAAAAGGGGGAATGATGGCGAGGAGGTCTCGGATGACGAGGGGGGCGAGAAGAAATCGGGGAGTTTTAGAGAGATGGAGAATAATAATCTTGATAATTTTAGGTACGAGCTTCAGGAGATTCTGGTGAGTTACTCGTGCAGGATATTTATGGGATGTTTTGAGGAGATCTATTGCCAGAGGTACAAGAGGCAGCTGGATTATAAGAGGTTTGGTGTGAGTCGGCTGGAGGAGCTTCTGGAGAAGGTGAAAGATGTGGTGGTTTTGGAAGAGGATCCGGTGAGTAAAAGAAGGTTTATGGTTGCCGTTGGTGGGTGAAAAAAAGGAAAAAATTGCTTTACTTTGTCTGGGTAATTTTCGAAAAAATCGAACCTTTCTTTTGGGTAGATATATAAAGACATGAGCTTTTTTGTAGCTTGTGTCCTGTGAAATGTTGTTTGCGGTTAAGGGTTGAGTTTTTAAGTGTCCAGTGTCTTCTTCTTCTTCTTCTTCTTCTTCTTCTTCTTCTTCTTCTTCTTCTTCTTCTTCTTCTTCTTTCTTTGTCTTTACTTGAGTTTTACTGACTTGGGGGTGTTTGGGTGATTTACAGTAATAGTTGTTAGTTATAACTTGTAAAAATGGGATTGTTTTGAAGCAGATCTTTTTGTGTATTAGTTTTATCCCCAATGGCAACAAATTTCACTAATTTGGTTTCTTTTATTTGCCTCTAGCGTGTGTTACATATGTAACTATATACCATAAACTTTTTATTTGAAAACAGGTATTTGTTTTCATATTTTTTTTTTTTTTTTTTGTGATTTTGAAAGTATGAGACCCTCCTCTCATGGATATCATGAATGAACGAGATTTTGAACATTTTAAAATGGTTGAGCCCGCCTAAGAGCGCCTAGGCAGTGCCTAGCCGTCTGGCAGATTTTTTCGGCCGATTTGTGCAAATTGGAGGCGGTCGGGTAGCGTCTAGCGCCTAGGCGGCCGCTTAGGTCGATTTTTAGAACAATGGTATATGATTAAGTGCCCATGGAATAAAATACCACATATGTGTTGATCTTTTATGGTAACACAAAATGAATAATATGAGGAGGGTCGCAGTGAGTTAGTTTGTTGCTACTCTTAATAGTATTTCAACTAACGGTTTTACTATGGAGCCAACAGTTGGCTCCATAGTAGAGTCAACCTTCTATATGCGACAAATAAACTGTTGGCTCCATTATGAAGCCAACTGTTGGCTTCATAGCAAAACCATTTCAACTAATAACTATACAAAATTACATTACAATATGGAGAAACTAAGCATAACATCAGACTGTGAGAGATGATCCTTTGTACGTTTGAACTTAGTTTTTTTATTAAACGAACCTATCTCGAGTCTTAACGAGACGAGCTTACGAACGGTTTGTCGATTGGGAGTGTAACTTCTTGCTAATAACTATATGAGGAGTGTAATAATATAAATAAAAAGAAAAGTCGTAGTGCAGAGTGTAATTTTCTCTAAATTAAATGCATGAAATTTGAAATTTGAGGCGGCCATTGGGCTTCAAATTTCATGTATGAGCTTCATTATTAATGTAGTGCACGAGTTTGTACTTTTCATCCGTGACATTTTATGCAATAAATAGTTTATTTTGTGCCCTAATGTGATTATTCACTAACAAGTTACGATGACAAATAAATTAAAATAAATTTAAAAAATTCAGTTGTCTCTATTGCGGGTAAACTTGGGAAAGTTGCAAAATTAAGAATATCCCAAATTTAATCCATTTTTTATTCAGAAATAATTGCTTGAAAGTATGTATTATCACTCTGCATGCTTTCCTTTTACTCTTTCAATTCGAGGTGACAACTAAAATGTAACTAAAATAATAAATTAAATGGGTAGTAGACTTTGTGGAGAATCGTCAAGCTTGAGAAGAACAGAGAATATTTTCCCAATAAAATGACTCATTTTATCATTAATAAACTGATATATTATTTTACAAAAATAGATTTTTTTTAAAAAAAAAAATTAATTTTTTAAAATATAACATAAATAAAAAAAAGTATAAATTAAATATGCATTACTACTCACAAAACACAATCACATTCCTATGATTATTTATTTATTTTTTTTTTTCCGTTTTTCATAAAAAATTTATGGTCTACATACATTTCCATTACGATTTATGCAAGACTGAGTATTGTGTATTTTTACCTTTTAATAAATACACTCAATTTTCAAGTATGTTCACATTTGCCTTTTTATTTGTTTGTTTGTTTAGTTAAAAAATTGATAAAAATTAGTGTTTTAAAAGTCGTTAGGCGCTCGACAAGCGCCTAGAATATTTAGGCGGGGCGTAGAAATCAATATCAAATACTTTATTTTTTATGTATTATAACTATCTACAATATAGACTATCTCAACTTATAATAATTCACACAGCTAAGTCCAAATAATAATATTAATATATTTTAAAGTAAATATGAGAACAAAATAATTTAATTAATATTAAAAAAAAAACTGAAAAATTGTCCCCGAACCTGCCCAGGTTTGTCTGTGCCGGCCTACGCCTCCTAACCGCTTGGCCGACGAGCCCGCCAAGTCTGCCTAAGAGCGCCTAGGGCTAGACATGGCCAAAAGCCGCTCAGCCCGTCGATCCAACCCGGACCGGCATGGACAAAACCGTTGACCACGGGTCCGTGACTAAATCGGATTTTAGATGGGCCATTTTTGGGTCATCAATTTCATGACCCGGCTCGGCGGGCCCGGGCCGGGTCTGGTCGATGGCCCTCTTTTTCTATTGTTTTTTTAAAAAATGATGGATCCGGCACAAGTACAGGTCCGTTTCAGGTCCGGGTCAGTGTTTTGGAGCCCGGCTGCCCGGGTTTTGGCCATGTCTACCTAGGGTCTAGCCGTTTGGCTGATTTGTACAAATTGAAGGCGACTGGACACCGTCTAGGCAGCCGCCTATGTCGATTTTTAGAACAATGATAAAAACGTGAGTCATGTTTCAAAAAAACCTACTTGGAAAAGGATCTTTATATCTATGGGATCTAAATAGAAATGGTCCGGACTCGCATTTGGTTAACAAAATAAATAAATTATCGCGTGAGTACGAGTTAATCTCTCAAACATTTATTACAAAAATGTTAAAATGTTTACACCTTTTATGAACATGTAATATTTTTATTTATCTTATTTTTTCGAGTGACATTTTAGTTTAAAAATATGACTACTAACAGTTAGACTTGTTTAGTAAAAAGAAAATTATTCTACCTTATCAAAAAAGATTTTCTTATAGGTACACATTTATATTATTTATATTATTAATAAGGTTAATTGAATAAAAAAATCACCACCTTTTGTTTAATTGTAAATAAAACTCAACCTTTTCAATTTGGCAAAAAAATACCTAACTTTTATTAAGTGTTGCAATTTTATCTCGACCGCCGCCGTCAACTTTGCCGGCTATTGGAAATTTTTATATGATCTTGTAGCTCTCCTCCGCGCCAACAACATATCCGAGTTTCACGAAAAAATTTCGACGATAAGACGTCCAATTTTTCGGTCAAAGGTCGTTGATTGGTCGGAAAAAGTGTGTGTTTTATATATTTATTAGAGTATTTTTATATGCTTAACCTTATCGCACGTTTATATTTTTCGACAGATTTATTATTTGGTTCGATTTATGTGTACTTTGATATTTTATACTTTATTTTCAGCATTTTAGAGGATTTGCGTGAACGAGAAAGCCGTTGACGAGACTGCAAATAGTCGTTACCAAATGCCCCATACCAGCCCGAATTTCAACCGAAGATTAGGCCCAACATTGATTATTAATTCACTTGTTTTGGGCCTACAGAATTTGACTTAGAGGAAATAAAACATGCAAGCATCTTATTCATTTGGGTTGGGCATCAAAATAAAGCTGTGAGGTGGCGGAAATTAATGGAAAGGAGATTTGGAGTCTTGGGACACTTATTTTTGGAAAGAACATATTTATTTGAGAAGACTGAGATTTATTTGGGGAGGGGAGAGAGCCGCCACGCATAAGAAAAGTAGAAGAGAGAGAGCGGCTGGAAACAGAGACAAAAGGCAGATACGCGAAAAGAGAATAGCAGAATTACGAGGAAGCCGATAGATCGCGGAGGGAGGCCGCACCCGCACACGAGAAGGATAATCTTATTCTTCTCTTTCTCTTTTATTTCGTATTTATTATGTTAGAGTAGATTTTATTCTAGTTCCGGGGATGTCGAACCCTACGTACTTGATGATGTTTGATTGATTTATATGGTTGATTATTAAGTTATCTTTTTGGAATTGTTTGTGTTATTTTGAATAATTAACCATGATGTGTTGAGTCTTATTTAGATTGATCACCTAGATTAGGCTTTTCATATCTACACCTGAATTAGGCCTTCAATCCGTAATTGTTGATGTGTTTAATTCGCAAGTGGTATCCGGAAGATGGTAACTACCGGGGATAACACGGCCTATTTAAGTGAACGAACGCGTCACTACTTAGTCTAGCCTATTTTTCTAATGCGTAAAGCGGCTGATTGTATTAAATCTAAGAAGCGTTTTCTAGACTGTACAAGAGGTCAGGTCTAATCGTAGAGCGTCTCGCGGTTAGATTAAAAATAAGGAAAAATTCGGGTAACAGACCGTGTCGTTGCCTAGGGCTAGTAATTTCATAAGATAGCGAAATTTGATGCCAGAATTGATTAGACGAGTCAGTCGAGGGTGTAGACGGAACCGTGAACTAGAAATTTCTCTTATTTATTTTATATTTATTTTTATTTCCTTTCTTTATATTTTTAGATTTTTAGTTAGTTTAATTATCAAATCCCAATCCCCCCATTTACCGCTTTTCTAAATTCAATTATTACAAAAAATTTACAATTTGATTCACACTCCCTGTGGGTTCGACCCTTACTCACTACTACTACTAGTTGGTAGAAGTCGAATAAGGAATTTATAAATATTAATTTTGCCGCGTTGCGACGCGCGGTCAGTCGTAAAAAATTTAGATCTATGACCGTTGACCGGAAAATTGGACGTCTTATCGTCGAAATTTTTTCGTGAAACTCGGATATGTTGTTGGCACGGAGGAGAGCTACAAGATCATATAAAAATTTCTAATATCCGGCAAAGTTGGTGGCGGCGGTCCGACGGACGAGACAAAATTGCAACACTTAATAAAAGTTAGGTATTTTTTTGCCAAATTGAAAATGTTGAGTTTTATTTCCAATAAAGCAAAAGGTGGTGGTTTTTTTTATGCAATTAACTCTTATTAATTTATATATCTTTTCCAAAAACTAGTACGAATCCCGTGCGATGCACG